CTGAGGGAAAAACATGAAATTCTCCTGCCAGGGTCATTGCTAGCATTTAAAACTTCATTTTGCAGAACTCGTACTTCTTGCTGACATCAAAGGTAGTATTTAGAAAGATAGTTTAGAAATTTAATAAGACTGAATTTAGAATGAATCTCAGATATTCTCATTTTGGGTTCTTACAAGTTTGCTTGTAAGAGCAACTAAAGATTTGTTAAACCCCAAGGGACCCTAGTAATAAAATGAAAAACAACAATTTTCATAGCAACTTTTCCTGCAGTGCTGGCCACGCCAGACATATATGTGCTGGTCCTCTGCTGCCTACTAACTGAGGAAGGGCTGCACCACCATCACTACAACCCTGCCGGAGGGAGAGCAAGGACCGCTCTGATGCACCACACATACTTATAGCGAGGACAGGGAGCAAAAGGCGAATCAAACCAGTATCTAGAGTAGAGCCCTTCAGGAAAGCACTGCAGAGAACTGAGAGGCACGTAACACTTGGCAGCAGACAGGAGGCAACTCAGATCCCCCCTTTTGATTTGGTTTGGTGGAACTGGGGATTGAACTCAGGCCCTTGCACTTGCCAGGCAAGCACCTATTCTACTGAGTTATCTCCCCAGCCCCTCAGATCCCCCTTTTGAGAAGCAGCTTCCTTTAGCACTGTGTTTACTTGTGGGAAGGTGAGCCTCTGCATCCTTCTGCGCTGATGCTGGGGTACCGTCTTTCATCTCCTCTTTTCTTTCTGGGTGTCTCTCTCTGCCCTTCTGGGTCTTACCTACTCATGTTGTATTCCAATGGGCTGTAGAACATCTCTAAGATTCCTTTCCTTCAAATGTAACCTTGGGTAAGGCTACTTAATTGGTATTTTCCCATTTCCTGCTGAATTCTGTTTCAGTAGAGCAGACCCCCGAAAATGAGGTCCCCCTTGGGTAACTGTAGGAGGAACCATTTACTTAACATGAGTCAGAGTGTGAAGTGGGCCTTTTCAAGTACAAGACTTTAATCCAGTTAAGTTCACTGCAAACAAAGATTTATAGTGTGAATAACCAGGTATCTTAGTTTAAGAACTGTTCAATATAACTAATGCAGATGTGAAGAGTTTGAAAAGTTTGAACATGCACATGAGGATGATGAGTGGAGATGTCACCTGGAACAGCAGTATCTGAGCTGCTCCTGACACTAGGGACAGGTCACTTGGTCAGCTCATGCAAAGGGCCACACACTGACAGGCAGACGACACTGCTGCTTTTGTCTCCAACGACCTTATTTTCTCTAGGAAAGGATCTGGCCTCATGGCACTGCTTTTCTCTGGCTTCAAAATGACACTCTCCAAATCTTTGTTCCATTTCAATTTTTCTACCTTCTCTGTAGGCTGCTTAAGAACTGGTGCTGCCTTTGCGCAAGCTCGCCTTGCTATCTTATTAACAGATTTGCTGAGGCTCATGCTCATTGCTCCTGTGCAATTTAAAGTGACTAAGAATTTAACATAGCAGGATTTTTCTACCGTGGAAGAATCTCAGTCCTTTTAGGTAGCTAAGTGATTCTTATTGCCTATATTTCTAACAATTCAGAATTTAATCTTTGATTCAGTATGAGGCAGTGGGATGGTTTTCAGGGGGTTCTACATTATGTTTGAAGTTGAATTATCGCTAAGATGTATGGTTTATACACCTTCTGTATTATAGCATTATTATTTAAATGAGAATTTTATGAGACTTTAAATTTGTACTAATAACTCCCTTGAAGTAGGTGATCTTGGTACAAGAAATCTTGACTTATTAAACCAGTGTGTTTCTTTGCAGAAATAAATATGTAGTTCTGAATTCCTCAAGTAACAGTGTTCAGAGTTGATATGAAACTAATAAAAACAAAGAAAAATAAGTTTAAATATTTAATAAAACAATTATAATATGTTTAGGCAAATCAGTAATAGAAGAGGTAACACTTTATTTTAATGGTAAACTTTCATGCTAACTTAATAGTAAAGTGGAAACATAAACTCATTTTCATATAAAATCTTTGATTCCATTTAATTAAGATAGTAATACATAAAGAAAACGTGTCTTTTTCAATCTCATCTCTTTGTTGTTCTTTTTAGTTTGTAGAGTCCTGCTTTATGAGAGGGTCCTGATCTAACACGAAAGTCTTTTTGTGACCCACGACACCACTTACAGACAGCTAGTTCTGTTGATAACATTGGAAATAGCAGGAGTATGCGTAAAAAGGCGCAAAGCAAACAAGCCCTTCTCAGAAGATACAAATTAATTTCACCTCAAATGACACAGGCCCACAAAACAGTATACAAAATAGAGCACTGGATAACACTCTTTAAGACATCTGATGACTCACAAAAATTCTAAAATAGTCTGACTGAGATAACTCTGAACGACAGTGATGTACAATTCAGATACTTATTTGTACATTCTGAGTTTTGTTTATCACAGTAATTCCTCAGTGTGTAGCACATATTATGATGAAGACATTTTGTTCTTGCCACATCTTAACACCAGCATTATAAAGCTCTATTTATTTGAGTGGTATTGACCAAACTTTATAAAACTGTATGATAAAACTGAAACAGAAAATCATATTGTGGCTTAAAGAAAATTAAAACTATTTAAATTACAAGACATTCTGTTTTCTTTCTTAAATAACCCTACAGTAAAAAACAACTGTGAAATGTGCTGATACTAATATAATTAGGCTCCTGGGCTAATAATTAGGCTACTGATCTGCTAGTAAATATTTCATCAATATTGTATTTGTGAGAAAATGGTCAAATATGGATGAGGAATTTTATTATCCACATCAAATTTGGGAAATACAAGAGAAACAGTTACATGACACTTTTCACTTGGGACCTGGTAGCAGGATGGGTTGAAATAAAGCCTCAGTTTCTGAAAATTTAAACAAGACCTAACACTGTGTTTTATTATTTTCCTGGGAGAAGAATATGATAGCTTTGAGAAGTTACCTTAGATTACATGGAATAAAAAACTGGTAATTTTAAAAGATATCCCCGGAAAAAAAAAAAGAAAAAACACAAAAACACATCGCAAAAACACCCCGGGGACACAAAAGACAAAAAAACGCGGGCAAAACACACACCCCAAAACCCACACCCACAAAAACGAGAAAAGATACCACACAGAGACACACAAAACTCGCACAAAACACAAAAAAAACAAAAAGATGTGACACGACACAAAAACACACACAGAGGGGGCAAAATGGGGGGGGGAAAAAGTGTTTTTACAAAAAAAAACACACAAGATTGTGCACAGCTAAAAACCCTCTTCCCCACACAAAAACCAAAAACAAAAAAGAATATACACATATGCTCTTTGAGAATAGAGAAGACCCCCAAAAGACACAAAACCAAAAAAAATAACAGACACAAAAGAGAAAAAAAAAATACGCCAAAAACAACAAAAAAAAAACAAAAAAAAGGGTGCACAAAAGCTTCTCAAAACACATGCCCATATAAAAAATAAAATACTATAAAAAACAGATAAGACCCAAAAACACCCAAAAAGAGATAAAAATCGAAAACTACAACAGCGCGCGCTGGGACAAAAAAAAAAAAACAAAATAAAAACGCCACACACAACAAGATGTTGCAAAAAGCTTTTAAAATAAAAACACAGAGATAAGATGAAAAGCAAAAACTAAAAGACCCCACAAGAGAAAAACACAGACCACACACACACTCTATAAAACAAGACAAAAGGGAAAAGCCACAGCTCGCCCACAAAAAGAGAAAACCACACAACATCTCTCTCTCTCTACACACAGAGCAGAGCGCAGACGCCGAAAAGAGAAGAGACCCGCGCCGCCTCTTTATATGTTTTAAAAAAAACAGAAAAATAACACAGACACACCGAAAAACACAAAAAAGAACAAAAAAACTCCTATATTTACACCTGAAAACGCGCACACCACATCAAAACACAAAAATGCACACTGAGATACAATAGGGCACACCACAAAAAAACACACCCACACCGCTACAATATATGACACACACAAGAAAAATACGCAGAAAAAAAAGGCGCTATATATGGCAAAAGACACGTGGGGACAAAAGGACAACACGCTCACAGTAGACTCAAAACACAAAAAACAAAAAATGCACAAAAACTGCACAGAGACACAAAAAAAACACACAAAACACATTTCTCTCCACAATACCCCCCTGTACACCCTAAAAAAGAGGTGAGAGCTCCACAAAAAGATACACACACACAAAAAACACCGAGAAAACACAGAGATATACTCTCCCCCGAGAGCTCCCACAGAAAACACACAAAAAAACACCCATAGGGAGATGTATATCGGCACACACCCCAGAACACAGAAAAAAGGTCCACACCACACATACACCCCAGAACAACACCTTCCCCTACACATATATACACCCAGAGAGGACACCACAAGAGTGGGGAAAACCCCGCACACAAAACAGAGACACAACAACAGGAGACAAAATCAAAACGCGGACACATCACACACAAAAAAAACATCAAAAACACTGCGCGCACACACCTCCCCGATAGAGAAAAACACCCACAGAGAACAGTAAAAGCACAGAAAAAGGGAAAAAGGAAAAAGGAGAACAAAAACCACAGCTCGCGCTCTCTAAAACACACACGACACCACAAAACCCTATATCACAGACCCCCCCCCCGCGCTCCAAAATGTGTGTGTGTGTGTGCGCGTGTGTGTGTGTGTGTGTGTGTGTATATCCCCCCCCAAAAATATATATAAAAAACAAAAACAAAAATAAGAGCGCTAGAAAAAAAAACATTAGAAGACAACACCTAAAAGAAGACCACACAAAAACAAAAGTGTCACAATATCTCTGGAAAAGCACAGTCTCTAAAAAAAAATATTGTGGTGGCCACAAAAAGAAAAATATACACAGAAAACCCAAAAACACTCTCACAGACCTTTGTGATGAATGCAGAAAACATAAAAGGGATATGGGAGATGTGTATGCATTTACAAAGGAACAACCCTGGGAAGAAGGCAGATTTTATGTCTCTATTTTCTACTCTGATGAGCCCTCTGGCTGCTTTTCTTCCTCCCAGAGACCCCTCCTGGTCATACCTGGTTATACCTGGATCTTTCTGTCCAGCTCTCTATAACATCCTTTAAAAGCAGTTGCCTAAACTCTAACCGTGTGCTCTTTGGGGACACTGCATGCATCATTTTCTGATGCTCAGACCAAAGAGGAAGAAAACAACTTTAATAATGCAAGAGCAAGATGGCTCTTACTGGGCTTATTTCAGGCCAAAAAAAGCAAAGACAAACCTTGGGAGATCCAAGTAATTCCCAATACAAGATTATAACAAGATTATATTTAAAGTTCTGATCCCTTGGCCGAGCAGAGACACAACTGTGGCTGGAATGTATCCTGCAAGTACAATTACTGATGCAGTTTATAGCACCAGCTGAGTAGGTCCATGGCAAAAGACAGCAGCCTGTGAGCTGTGCCTGAGGTAGGAAACCCCTGAGAAACATCAGTGGTCCTACATGGAACGAAGATGGACTGGTTTTTATCCTTCACACATTTAGAGCCTGTGCTTTTGTATTTACAGTAGCCTAAGATGGCAGGATCGCTCATAAAACCCTTTGTGGGACTACTTCTTGAATACATTTGACATTGACATATTTTAAAGTGGAACATGTTTTTTAAAACCCCAGTTAATAAAAAATAACCTTAGAAGATGGTTGCAGGTAATGCAGTATAAACTCATTGTTAGCAAGAACAACAGCATTATTCTGCTGGACAGAGTCCTGAAGGGAAGCTCGGCACGCTGCTGAGACTATGTGATTTTCCGCTTGATGACATCGAGCTCTCTTACAAGATCACTGAACTTAGGGCGATTTTCAGGATTATAATCCCAACACTTCATCATAATTTTAGAGATATCCTCTGGACAGTGCTGAGGGGCTGACATCCGGTATCCTAGAGACCCAAGAGAATAACAGAGGATTTAAAATGCAGATAAGCTGTAAATGTTTGCAGTTTAGAAAAATTTAGTGCCTGATGTTGTAGGTATAAGAGAAATAAAAATGGATTTCAAGGCTCAATTCTATTTCCCATAAGTGATATAGAATTTAATACTGGAGCTATCACTTAATTCAAAAACATTTTTTATTCATTTGTCAGAAAGACTGAAGTAAAATATGCATATACAAATGAATATTTTAGTATCTCTATTTGCTTCTAGACTTAAAATTTGTGAGCAGTCTTAAAAAATCATCTCTACAACTTATGTTTTTGAAGATGAAAAGAGAGGAGGATTTTATAAACACTTGTTCAACAGTGACGTGTAAATGAATATGAGTCATATTATTGTACAAGTGGTATCCTGGCAGGATCCCGGGCATGTGTGGGATGTTGTGTTTGTTTGGTTAGGAAGTAGGGTATACAGGAGAAGTAGGAAGGAGGTTAGAAACACATCCTCCTATACCCAGTTAATTCTGTAACCACAACCCTGGTTCCCTTGGGTACCCAGATGCCAGGTCCTGCCACTTTATCTAGAGTGTTCTTTTTGTTCAATCTGTAGACCAATAGAAAGGTGTGATCACTACCTAGTCATTCCTATCTTGGATCTGGGAGCACAAAGCGTTTCTTCAGAAGTGCTACTCCTGAAGACTAAAAGCACTTCAGTTAGCAATATTACAAGGGGTTTATTGGGTTTGGAAGAAGCAGGAAGAGGATAAAAACCACTATCCTGATTCTCTTGAAGACAGAGTAATGGGACACTGCAGATATCCTACTAGGCAGAGGAGAGATGGAAGAAAAGCCTGGCCCTCTCCACATCTCGTGTGCTGTGGTCCTTTAACATACTTGTTTTCATTGTATAGTGCAGGAGACTGGCCGAGGAGTGGATGACTTAGTGAAGCATGTTGTGTTTGGTCATTGTCCTTCCCCTTTCCCCAAGAAAAACTGCCCAGCCTGGGACAAGTCCTTGCCCAAACTGGTTTTCTTCTGCTTTTTCTCTTATACTAATATTCTAAATAACAGCTGGAGAGTTTTTGGCTTTGGGCTTCTGTAATTCTCCCCATTGCTATCTCAGTGGAGATAGTTCAATAATGGAGGGCCCCGAGGGGCTAAATTTCATCCCCAAGTAATCACTCATTCTCCAGGCTGGCAGGTTTGCACACTGCAATCCTTTGGAATCCAGGGGATTCCAAAGCAGATTAGCTGCATCTTGCATCTCTCTCTCCCTCTGTACCTGCACAGCACAGGCAGCATCTCCTACCTACCAAGCTACCCCACAGATGCCCCGGGGCCGGCTCTGAACTCTTACTGTCCACTCTTTGGCTTACCTCTTTCTACTTGCTCTCGTGCTTGCTGATTTGTCATTCCAGGGTATGGACACACTCCAAAGCTGAAGGTCTCCCAGAGGAGAATGCCAAAGCTCCACACGTCACTCTCAGAACTGTATCTCCCTAGAAGGTGAACAACAGCCAAAAATATATGAGGCATGGAGACAAAAAGGTGACTGTTTCTGTTGGTCACATATTCACACATTTACCTGTCCAAGGAACTCAATAACTGATGATCTTATTCTCTTGGCTGGTTTTAAATTTTAGGACTAGTAGTGTTAGCAATTAAATGAACAATCTTAGGGCTGTTGGTTTAATCAAAACAGCTAAGCCATCACCCTCAACCTTACCCCAAAGAACAGGTATTCAGCAAGCATATCACCTTACTTCCCTATGGTATATGAATGAGATGAATGATTTATAGAGAAAACAGAAAAAACTAAATTGTAGACATCAGTGCCTAGAAGATTAACTCGAATGGATTCCTGCAATTTCATCTTCCATCCACATCATTTTCTTTCCACTAAAACAACAAACTTAAAGCAATAAGGAAAGTTTCTTAACTTCAATTTTTTTGCATGTCATTGTTTACAGATTTTCTTACATGCTTAAAGGTCTCATTTTCTCTGCTGATAGTTTCATTTATGGAAAATAAATTTTTCTTTGTGTTTTGAATAGAGTAGAAATTAACACAGCCAGCTGATCAAAACAACTTCAAATGACATGGTATCTTGTTTTGCCAAAATATCTTGGGGCACCTGTTTCATTGAGTTCTATGAACTAAACTCTTAAAATGTATTGTTTGGCAGCCTTTAGGAGAAGTACAGTGATAAGAATAAAGATGTCTTTTGGAGAAGACAGAGGGACACAGGCTAGGAGGAGAAGCATTTCCAAGAGTCTCCCAACACATTTTAGCTTTATTTAATTTGATGTACAGGACATAAATTATCATAACTAAACTCCATCTACAGTGGTGAAACTTTTTAAATGATTTTATTTTCAATCCCTCATGTAGCTTCTTGCCTTAACTCTGCCATTTCAGGATTTAAAAATGTCCCTCTAAAAATGTCATGTGGCTTTAAAATAGAATAACCTTTTCTCTGAGAAAGGAGAATGAAAAGGAGTGTGCTTGTGCTGTGGTGACTGTACTGAGGCTGCAGTGTATTTACTGGTGGCTCCAGCTGTGTGAAGTAGCTCCCTTCTTAGTAGACAGTAATTAAGGACATTCACTATGCTGCTTTATAGAAGATTAGTGTTCTTCACTGGGTATCAGCACTTTTCATGTTTGGCATCCAATAATTTAATGCTTTTCATGAAAGTCATTCAATAGCTACAAGTTAAGACTAATTTCTTTTTAAAGGAAGTTATCCAGAGTCAAATGTTTCATTTTGCAGATAATATCTTGGCAGAGATCAAGAAAGGCACATTATATGTAAACCAAAAATCATATTCCAGAAGTGAAACTTATAACTTAACTCTAACTCTGACTTGTGAACTTGATTTTACTGGATAATTTTAATAGGCCAAGACAAGCCATGATGTATGGCATAGGATTTTGTGGCCTTTCTCTCATTTCATGCTCTTCTCTACAGAGAGAAAGTATTATCATCATCTTAGAAATTAGGGAGCAGAGGCAGTGTATGGTGGGATGGCTTATCAAGGCCTGCAGCCGACAACAGAGCTGACTCTGGACTTTCAACTGAAACCCTGCCTCCCCTGCAGTTCAGAGTCTACCTGTTATACCTCACTGCTTAAATTAGAAAATCAGCAGCTCCTACAGCCAGGCCACAAGTGGAAAGCTTTCTTTTCAATTACTGACAAATATGATTTTATTTCTTAGGTGGAGATGAGCACAAACAGAACCACTGGTGAGAGCTGTGACTGAGGATGGTAGCAACATTTATGAGGCTGCTTCCTTTCTGAATTCAAAATCAAATTGTTGGGGGAAAATAATATACCGAAAGGCTGCTGAGGAGTCTTTCCACACAAGACGCATAAGAATATTTGCCTCTAGGAAGGAAAATTATGTGGCTAGAGTTAGGGGTGCACTGTAGGTCCTTTAGGATTATCTGATTTTCCCAAAACAAGTATATGTATCATCTTTTCAAAAATTAACTTTTTTTTTATGTATTTGGTACAGAGACTACAGGGTCTAAAGGGTCTCACTACATAGATCGGACTTGTAGTGATTTTCCTGTTTTCAACCTCCCAAAAGCTGGGATTACAGGTGCACACACCTAGCCTTAAAAGTTAACAGTATTAACCAAGTTTATTCCACAGCCCTAATCCAAAGTTTTGAGAGGTTCCTCAGATGGGAGGCTTTTTCCATCTGCCCTGACACCGAACCTCATGGGAGATCTGGGCAGTCTTTCTACAGTTGGAGGCAAGAGTGAAGAAAAGAATCAGTGGAGAAGAAAACATTCTTGAAAATGAGGCTAACTGTGTCCACAAGTGTAAAGCTTTCTTTTCAATTACAGACAAATATGATTTTATTTTAGGTGGAGATGAGTACAAACAGAACACAAAAAGTTATTCATATAAAACATGAAAGAGGTAGAACAAGAAATAGAACTTTCTAAAATATTTATATTTTTTTCTTGTTTAAAAAATGTAAGGATTTAGATCCAGTCTTTAATACTTTAATATTTATGAGAATTAAGGCAATTTATTAGGGTACCCTGTGGCTTGTAGACTCTTTCAGGAATTTCTCCACTGGATTGGATAATACTGCAGATTCTTTCCTTGTCTGCTTCTGTGTCATCTGAATTATGTCACATCTTATAAAGTTAGTATTATAGACAGCTAAAGAATGTATCTTCATCCATCAAAAATCTTCATACTTGTTCTTATTAAATAGCTTTTAGGTCTGACTGTTAAAGGCAATATGAAGTTAGAACCTTTAAGGGTTTGGGAGATAGCTCAGGAGAATAAGCACTTGCTTGGCAAGCACAAGGTCCTGAGTTCAATCCCCAGTACAAAAAAAAAGAAAAAAAAAAAAGAAAGTTAGAACTTTAATATGTAAATACTTTAGCTAGGTTCAGTTAAATTGTAATATATTGTGGTCAAGAGGTAAAATTTTATTTGGTATAACTGCTTAAAAAGAGTAATTTTTTTTTCTACTTATAAGGTAGAGAATCTGGTTAACAAATTCCAGAGAGCTGGATTTGACTGGTAAATTTTTAGGGACTCTCAGGTCCAGTTATAGCTGCCTTTGCATTTAAAAATGTTTTGTCATCATTTATCCTGTGTTTGTTCCCCTCCACAATATAGCCCTAGAATAATAACAACCATACCAGAAAAGAATCACTGTGGAAATTAGCAGGACTGCCACTTCCCTGGGTTATAATAATCGATTGGTTTGGAGTCAGTAGGAAATGCACTGAAGTCTCTTTTGGTGGCACATGGGAGACAAAGGGTGACCTGGAATTCCTACGGCATGTGAGTCAGCCCTGTACCTTCTCAACCAACTACATTCAAAAGCTTTATCTGGGAAACATTAGTGGTTGCTCGAAAAGTTAACTATAAAATCACCTATGGTAGAGTATATATCTAAATTGAATATAGGCACTCAATGAACTGTTTTTTTTTTTTTTTTTTTTTTTTTTTTTGTCTCTCATTTTCACTTATTACCTGTTTTAAAAAAATTTAAAGGGAGTATAGAAATAATTAATATGACATTAGAAATGATATACATTTAGAAGACCAAGGCATGGTTTTAGTCTTCATGCATGGTTTTAGTATTAACATATTGCTGTTCTCAATGTAGGTGCTTCAATGAACCGTTGCACACAATGTAGCATCCTTCACAACAGCCAAAATGTGAAAACTGCCCAAATTTACACGAAATGGATGAATGAATAAACAAGCTGAGGTACATTTACAAGATGAAATATGATTGTCTTAAAAATGAAGGAAGTACTGATAATGCTCAATATGAATGAGCCTTGCAAGCAGTGTTAGTTTGCAAAAAGCAGAATAGTAGTTGTCATGCTATGGTGAACAAATAAAGAGAAAATATTTAACTGTGTAATTTTATTTTGTTTCTTCTTTTCTTTTTTGTGGCCTGGGGGCAGGGTTGGCATAGTATGTGGTGCTAGGGATCTAACTGTGGTCCCTGAGCTTCGCCTAAGCTTGCCCAAGCAGGAGCTTTAGACCACTGAGCTATCTTGCTGGCCCTGTAATTTTATTTTGGAATGATGGGAAAAAAAATTGGAGATTTGATAGAGATATTGGTTGCCCAACTTTGTCATTAATGAATGAATGAATGCTAATGAATTATGTACTTTAAAATAGTTAATTTCACATTGTGTGGATTTTATTTCAATTTTTGTATAGCTTTGGGTTTCACTTAGGCATTAAATTAGGACATTTATAAATTCCTTATAACTTTTCATGATGGGGTAATTTTTCATTTTTAGCTCATAAAATATCATTTTATGATTTTTATTCAAAATATATATTTGTTCACCAACCTCTAGGTTTATATACTGTTCACAATAATGAAAGTATAACTTCTAATTTTATTTAAAACACAATCTAGTCTTTTTTTTCTTAAATTTTCTTTAATTAATTAATTTGATACAGGGTCTCGCTATGCAGCTTGGACTCGTAGTGATCATCCTATCTCAGCCTGCCCCGAACCTGGATTACAAGTGTGTGCCATTACGCCTGGTGTTGGTGTCCAGCACGGCATGCCTAGGGTTCCAGGGCTAGCACAACATGTGGATATCGGGGACTGAACTCAGGTCCTTGTGCTTGCCAGGCAGGTGCTTAGACCACCGAGCTATCTCTCCAGCCCTTTCATGAATTCTTGAGGGGTTATCCACTTCTATGTTTTGTTTCATCCTAGCTACAGATAATGCAAGCTATACTTATTTCTACTTTCAAGGACATATAAAGTTCACATGAAAAAAAAATCCTGCTATTTTAAAATTTCATTCCTACTTTTTTCAAGATTTATATAAATTCCAGAAACTGAGAGGTTAAGAAAACATGTCAATTTTGGAGTGTGAAACTAACGAATCAACTGACTTGATGTTTTAGGAACCCAACATTAAATAAGGTTATCGGATCAGTTATAATATTCAAAGAGATGGTACAGAGCTGCAGTGACACTTTTACTCTATGTGGCATCTATAAAATAATAATTACTTTTGCATAAAATTTCTCCAATCTAGAGTCCTATTTAAAAGTGCTTATGCCTACTTTTTTATCTAGCAATCCTACTTACTAAAATCTGATCAATAATTTCAATGAATTAAGTTTGTGTTTATGTCTAATGCGAGGGATAAGCATTTATATATTATTCGTGTTCATCCTCCAATCATTCTCTCTTGGAGCCTACTCTAGCGCTGTAATATTGCTTGTGAATGTTTTGTGCTGATACAGTCCATTTTTACCACCAACAAGGAAAAACTGTCCATTCTTACCATAATTAAGAGCTTCTGGTGCTGTCCATTTAATGGGAATCTGCTTCAAGCCAGAAGATGAATACACGCCACCATCCTCTTGACGAGACATTCCAAAGTCACTGATTTTCAGAACATTATTTTCACCTACTAGGCAGTTTCTTGCAGCAAGGTCCCTGGGTTATAAAAAGACATAGAAAATACCTATTAAAACAAATTGAAGGCTGCTTTCATATTTATAACTTCCACACTTTGCATTTTTACATTTGCAATGCATTTATAAGAAGGTTAAGAATTTAGCTTGTGATTTACTAGTCCTTCCCATCTTCTGTCATAGGCAAAAATCATCCCTGAGAACATTTGCATATGTAACAAGCCACAGGTAGTTTTCTAGACATTATATATATTTCCATTTAAATAGAAAAACACTGATTACAGAGTTAAGACACAAAATCACAAGGTGGCTAAGCAAGCTTGGCGTTATTTCTCCTTTCACTGGCTTTCTTAGGTTAGCACTGCCTAACAGAAATTTCTGTGAGGATGGAACGCTCACTACCAGCATTGCCGAAAAAAGTAGCACTTGGTGCCTACTGAATACTTGCAGTGTGGCTAGTGTGGTTGAGAACTGAACTTTCCATTTATAATGACATATACCTAGAGCCCCTGAGTAGCTCCTAACAGATTAGCCCTAGAGCATCCCAAAAGCTGGAAAACAGCTGAGGTGGCACAGGGGCTGGGAAAACCTTACCTACAGATCTGGCTGTCATTCCCATTTCACCTTCTCACTCCACTAAGTATATTCCAGCCCTACTGTCTCTAAGGTCTGGATGCCTTGTCTAAACATGGCAGGACTGTTTCTTCCATTGGGCCTTTGACTTAACTGCTTCCTCTGGTTGGAGAGTTTTCCTTTATACTTCTGCATAGCTGACTCTTCCTTCAAATACACTCTCTTCAGAGAGGTCTCTGTTGAACAACTTTATCTGCCAGGAAAAAGTACCAAGTTCCTACTCTAACTGTTTTGGGGAGGGCATTCAGTAATCAAATTGACATATAGATATTTATATAACAGTGAATATTTACAGGCATATACACAGAGAAAATCATAGTGCTGAGTGTGGAAAAGAATAAAAGTTGTATAAAGGAAAGGGAATCTCAGTGTAGACAGGCTGGTAGAGACATCTCTCTGATAATGTGACATTTAACCAAACAACTGAAGTGGAGGTCAAATTTAGGGCATGTGCCAGGCAGCCAGTTGTCTCCTAATGACTATTTCATTCATGTTAGTAAAATTGTTATTTTAGTTGAATATTAAATGCTATGCTTTTCCGCCTCCCATACTCTACATTCTGGCCAATGAAATGTAAGTATATAAGTTACCTAGAATTTCTAGGGCGTTTCTTTGGAAGGAAATGGCTGCATCATCATGCTGTCCCTTTGCTAACCTGGATGTGCATGACGGCGGGTGTGAATGTCCATCCTCCACCAAGAGTAAACACACTACTGTTGGAAGAGCAGTGAGAAATCAGGGGCCTGCTTGCTGCTAAGTGCAGAGCTGCCGCACATGTTCTGAACTGGCTATCTCTTGGATTATTACTAGGTTTTTTAATGTAAGGAATTACTAAATTGGTTTCCGTTTGTTAGATTTTTCTTTCTTGGCTCATGCATACACATGTAGAACATATTAATTTTGAGAGTTCTATTAGATATTCAAATATAGATATTGAATAGAAATTTGGATACAGCAGTTTGGAGGTCAGAAGAGGTCTAAGGAAGTCTAAGAGTTGTAGCTTAAGACAGTAGTAGAAGCTATAGGATTGGAAAATGCTTTCACCTAGAGAGTATAGGAAGAATTTTAAAAGGGGACTGAAGGATTAGGCCCTACAACAGTGATGGTATGGGGGAGTGGCGGCTTAAAAACTTAAGGGAGGGAAAAATTTTCAAGAAATAGTGATCAACTCTATTAATTACTGAGAAGGTAAGCATGAAGACTGGTTAGTGGACTGAGTGACGTGGTTTAATGAGACGCTGACAAGGGTAATTTCAGTGAAGTGATGAGTACAAAAGCATGATTGAAATGTGTATAAAGATAATGAGAAAAGAGAATCATAAGTGGAGATACCTCTTCTTTTTTAAATGTATTTAGTACAGGGTCTATAGGGTCTCACTACACAGATTAGACTCACAGTGATCCTCCTGTTTTCAGCCTCTCAGGTGCTGGGATTACAGGTGCCCGCCACTATGCCCAGTCTCTGTTGCTGTCTCAGTGCCCCCTAGCGGCGGGGCTGGAATGGCACACCGGGGATCAAACCCCAGACCCTGCATCTGCCTAAGCATGCACTTTAATCCACTGAGCTATATGGCCAGCGTGAGATACATGTTCTGAGCACATGTTCTGTAAAGGGTGCAGGCAATTTGGAGAGGTAAGTAGAGAAGAATTTCATGTCAAAGGAATTTATTTTCCTAGAAGAATGAATTATAAAATACATAAATTATAACACATAAATAATATGATAGATCAAAACCAATGCAGAAGGGAAAATTGACAATTACGATGGAAAGGTCTTCAGAATCTAAGAAGTGAGAGGATCTATTTGTGCTTTCCAAGTTATATTCCCAATGCCCAGAATAGTATGTTGCACATAGTAGGTGGTCAGGAATAACTTGAATGAATGTACAAGTACTATTTTATCCTATAAATGTTCTCCACTAAAAGCTGTCTATTCTATGCTTCTTTTAAAATTATTTTCCATTGATAAAGTTATTATGTTTATCTTTGTAATGGCTCTCAGAACACTGAATATGACTCAGGACTTCCAAAACATTCAAGTCTAATTTATATGTAACATGGGACATATTTTGAGCAAGTGACATATAAACTGCTGACTGGTGATGATTCCTAAGGAAAGTTTGATAATCAGAGAAATATTTTATATTTTAATGGAAATCTTTAGTAGTATCTAAAGCCATTCAAGCATGTGAAATCTTGTTTTACCAGTTTGCTAAGATTAGTTTTATTCATTAGATCAAGTCTCATAATGGAAAACCTTCCAAGAAATCCAAATTTAAAATTACAGCTCTGACTCACTTCCCAGATCTGAAATATAGCAGATTACCATGAGCTCCCACTTGTAGTGTATCGCCAGACAAAGTGAGTGATAAGTGAATAGATAAAGCAGGCTTTCACTATCTTAATCTGTAAGAAGGAGCCATCCATGTTGGCTCAGGAACTACAACTCCTACTTTCAGCTGTATAAAATAGGTGCTAGCTGTTATTACATGTGTGGCATTGATGTGTTTCATTTTACTCATTTAAAAAAACAGAACTTAACAGGGTTAAGTGAGACAATGTTTGTCATGTAACTGAACACATAATGTGGCTGAAAGAGGTCTTCCAGGTGCTACTATTACTGTTTCAAATATGAATGTATTATTACTGAGGCCACTGTTGCTACTGTTGTTGTTACGAGAGGCCTTGGTACCGGATGTATAAACTATTTTTTAAAACGAGTATGTAAGGCATGTCATGATCACAAGGAAAAGGAGCCACCACGTGGAAACTCATGATAGAAAGCCAGGTTTATAAAACAGGCTTCTAAAGATGGACTCAATCTTACTTACATATTGAGAATCTCTGGAGGTAATGAAATTTCTGTACTTTATAGGTGTGTGGAAGATTTAGTAGATTTCTTGCTGTATGTATTTCATCACTACACAAAGCAGGATCCAGAAAGGCACTGGTGTTTATTGACTAAGAATTTTTGAGTCAGGCTGTATGTTATTTCTTTAAGGTAGATTTAGGAATTTCCCTTCTTTCACCTTTTAGTCTCTCTCAAGATGGGAAAAAAACTGCTCAATAACTCCCAAGTTATTAAACATTAAATCTATTGTTAATTAATAACAATGATCTGTTGAAGAATTTGAGTGCTTCTAGATATACTGGATTCATGGGCCCTGTCTCAATTAACATATTCAAAAACTTTGAAGAAGACAAATAATGTAGCACAGTAATTCTTAAATTCTGGACCCAGTCTGTCTTCAAAATCTACCTTCTGTAGCTCTTGTTCTGGTATGGCAAAGTAAGGTCATAATCCATGATCCTGCCAATTATAACTAAAACCTCAAGATGAGCTAACAAGTATGCTCTTTGGAGGTTCTTCAAGGTAAATGTAGGTAGACTTAAGAATTGAGCAAAAACTTGCAAAGGCAACCGTTTGGGTGTGAGTACCCTGGTCCCTTCAGTCCCTTCTCATTTCTCTTGCTGCTCTCCCCTGAATTTGAGCTCTACTTATGTAGTAATATAAGACAGAAGCACAAGAAACCATGTCTTTATTTTTACTTAACAAAGGAACTTAGAAAAAGGGGCACCTATGAGCCAAAGAAAAGGCTCTCCTGGTTCCATATGTAAACCTGCACGTATCTCAGCCTAATACCCGAGTTACAAATCTGTGAGGCAAACCTGAACCCACTCAGAAAATTAAACGTTTAAATAACTGCCTGGCTTAAAGTAACAGGATTGATTGTGTGCTAAAGACAATCAAAGGCAGAATTTGTAGTCTTGACCTAGCCAAGATGATTGTTAATGATTTTGTTTTAGTAGAAAATCTCCAGGGGAATACAACGGGGACTTACAGCCTATACAATATAATAATAGTATCAAGGGCATAATTCATACTTTAAAAGAATAAGGAAAATACAGCTAGGGTTATTGCTTATTGGTAGTGTGTGCTTAGCAGGCTCAAGGTCATGGATCAAATCTCTACCCTCACCCCCAAAACAAACCAAATAGAACATAAAAAAGCATTTTAAAAAAGGCAAAAGATCAATTCTAAAGGTGAATGGAAACTGCAAACAACTCATACCTAACTCATGATAATCAGATATTGCAACCACAAGAAATTAATTTTGGGCAGCCATTGTAACTGTAGTCCATAAATGAAAATATACTGGAAATGGACAGTAAATCAGAAGTTCTCAGTAGAAATTTAGAACCACAAAAGACTTAGAACTATTAGAACTTAAAAATGAAGCATCTAAAATTAAAAATTTACTTGACAGGCTCACAAGGATGTACAAAGATAAAAGATTGTTCTCATAAGTTCTTTAAAATGATTGAATATTTAAAGCAAATATAGTATTATATGGTTACAAGTTTTCTACATTTTACATAAAGCAGTAC